GGGTGGTTGAGCATAGAGAGGGATTGGTGGAACACTCATGTGCTCATATACAAGTAAGCTTTCCTAGTTCTGCCAGCCAGGGATTTGTCATAAAAGAAATAAATTGAATTTGGAGCTATTGGCTCCATCAAATGGTAATATTGTTGATGAATTTTGAAAACAACCAACTGTGGAGCATACAAAGTTTAACTCCTTTACTCCCACAAGTGACAGACTTCCTCCTAACAATATGAACACAATATCAAGCATACAAGTGATGAGAATAAAGTTAATAAGTATAATTTCAGAGCTGAGCAAAGAGTTTCCAGCAATCTGATTGGTCCAGTGGTTCCTTATATGATGCTATATAAACCACTCTACTCGATTTATATAAAATGTTGAAATAAAATGTTAATAAATGTTACTAAAATATTATAATTTTAGAAATTTCTCTGTTTTTCAGCTCTAAAATTATACTAATTAAAACAATTATTTGCCTCAGGTTTGGTGAATATCGTCGAATAATCCCTTCGACTTCATCTCGGGAATTATTCGACGATATTCACCTCGCCTTCAGCGAATTATTGTTAAATACAAATTGGGAGATTACAGGTTGATCCAATACCAAATTTTCCAAACTAACATTGGGAGAATTATATTGCTAGCAGACAGTAAGTAAAGAGAATTAACAATGAGATCTTGGCAATGAAAGGGTTAATGATATTGATTTTTGATAATTTCAGAGAGTTTTTTTTAATAACAGCTGACAGAAGATTTCTATTAAAAAAAAATTTTAAAAATACAAACATAGCACCAAAAAATAAAATAGCTTGCCTTTGCTTGTGAAATAAAATTTGCATGGAATTGAGTCTTGTCTTTGTTTCAGATTATTCTTCTCATTGGTGGGATTGGCTGGGGAAATGCAATAACCAGGAAAATCATCTACTGGGGAATGTTAACGGGAGACATTCTGCTTGTCGCTATCCAAGCAGCTTTCGTACACAGTATGTCCAACTGGAACGCAATCAACTTGTCCATGGTTGTTACTGCATCAGTATTTGCCCTCTTCAGAATTATAACACTGATATTCAATCCAAGATGGTGGCTCTGGGCCCCTGAACCTAACTTCTAAAGATTGGGTTTCATTAATGTAATCACAGCTGGAGATGGATTCATTAAGAGACAGGCAGAGGGATGCAATTATCATGATTTTTACAGATTATGATTTACACCTAAATGTTTTTTTGATTGTACTAATGTTGGTGATATTCTTTCATTTTTTTTTTTGCAAAGCTGTTTCATGTTCAGTATTGTAAGGACCTGTAAAGCAGATCCTAATAAGACAAAAAATTTGAGTGTGAACAAGGATTCACCTGAACCAGGTGCCCAGTAAGTGGTTTAATAAGTGATTGAAAACTACGTGTGAATACCTTTTAATTAATTTATGTCAGGTACAAACAAGTCAGAATTTGACAGAAGCATCTGGTGTGTAATATAGTGAAAAAATTATGGAAGTTGTATTGGATTGAATTTTAGGTTGCATTACTGAAACTGTCATTTCTTATCCTCCTGAAAGGTTGGTACATCATGTGGATATTCTTGCAGGCACATTTTTCCTTGTGGGATCTTCCCATTTTGCAAGAAATTTAGCTTGTTGCAGGCATTCAGTTGCTATAATGGAGATGATGTGAAACAGCTAAAACCTCTCTCCCTTTTCAACCCAAGCCAAACCTTTCTGCCTTTTTTCTCTGCTGCTACAATCGTGCTTTTAATTTTACCATCACACTCTGTTTTACCAACTGAGTGCCTTGAACAGCCTACCAGAATTCTGTTTCCTGAGAAAAATTCAACATGTATGTAGAGAGTTTGCACTGGCATGTCCTCACACCACACCCTTTTTTGGGTGCCAACCCTCTGCTAAGGTTATGAGAAAGGTTTGAAATAATGAACCAATTAAATCCAAGCAACTTTTTACCATTTTTTGTTTTGAAAAATTAGATCTAGGTTGCTCAGAGTAATCATTCTTTTACAAAGGAGCAAGTATTTTTTGATGCTGTGAATAAGTATTTATAATTTGATTTAAGTTGCACACCTGTCANAAATGTAAAGTGCCTTTTTAATGTGACTCCACTCGTAGAGATGGTTGTAAAATGTAGTGTTTAAAGTGTAAATAATCACAAGGAAGAACAGCAATCAATTAAAAATGTTTGCATTAATCCTTCTACCCCTAAGATTGACTGGCTTCTAATTTCTACTTACAATTTCTCCATTATCCCCCTTGAATCAAATGCACGGGTCAGGAGAATAAAGGAAATGATCACTAATTCAAGATGCTCCTGATCATTGAACAAATTCTCCTCATCAGTCCCATAGGAAATGTATAGCAAACAGTATGGAGAATCTGCATACTGATGTTAGGGTGTAAAGGGTTAAAGATGTCTTGAGGCTCTGACAATTGATGGTAAGGCGTACATATTCACACAGTGGCACCACCAAATTTTAACAGTGTGGTTACAATTTTATATTTTATTTACTTTTGGTCCTTTGTAAATCAACTGGTCAGTGACAGAATTAGTATTAAAACTCCCAACATTTAGAAAGTAGTTATGCATTGGTCAATTCAAAGCTGCAAAATCACGCCCCCCCTCCCCCAATGCAACCCCATTGGACATTTGAACTTTTAAAAGATTGGCCTATTCAAATAATATTCCTTCCCCTGTGCTAAAACTACATTCAAATATCCCACCTAAAGTCAAACGATTGTTTGTGTGATCAAAGGCTACCTTGGAAGGTTCAACACAATACAACAAGTCACCACAATTTTCTTTATTGCTATGGATATTCACGTTACCCGCATGTATGACACTTCACACTGATTACTGATAACTACGACCCACTTGTAACTTTTACCTGATACTCATACCACGGTTAAATATACTACTTATATTATGCTACGTCATGTCATGATCCTCCGCATTATTTACAACTTGCTGTGGTACACGGGTGTGCCATCTCATTCTGTACAATTTCAACTCATTCCATGGCCTAAAGCCACTTAAATTTAAATTCTCTCCCACATCAGAGAGCTAATTAACATCTTCATCTGCGATAGAGAACCACTTGGTAAGTAACGCAATCTTCGATATTGTCACGCAATCTCTCGCGATGAAAAGTTTTGATTGCGTGACCACCAAGGGTCCGCAGAGAAGCTTGAACTAATGTGAGGTACATTTAGCACCTAAAAAGAAATCCGCGGGATAAATAAGAGACAAATAAAGAAATACATATCTTTCCCTCTCTAAGAATCGAGCAGTATATTCACTTTCTTAACGTAATGCACGTAGATTTCAATTCCATGCTCAACCCTTGTATCTACTTCAGCGGTATTCGTGAAAGTAACAAACCAGAGTTCTAAATTACAATTCAAAAGAACGACCTGCGCTAAAATTTAAAACGTACAAACTATTTAGAAGACATTTGGCCATATTTCGCTAGGCATTCTTCATATAGCCCGGAGCTCGGAGCCCGGAGCCCGGAGCCACGTCTTACCCAATGCACCCTAACCTAACTTCGAGTTCACTTACGATCAACGCTTAGAGAAGAAGAAAGGTACTATGTTTTAGGAATACTTTTCATTTCTTTTCGTTTCACATGAGATTTCTCGTTTAATATCATCGGCCACGAAAACTATTCCTTCTTGAAACATAACAATAAGCAAAAAACTTCCAAATTGTAAGGTAATCAATTAAAAAACAACAATTAAATACTTATAAATAAAAATGTCGAATAAATACTTTCAATGAAAGATTTTAACGAAGATTTTGGTCTTGCGACCCGTCTCAGGCGTATCAGTTTACCACGAACTTGATCAAACCAAAATGCCTCAGTAAGTGATTTTACTGAAATATTCCTTTTGGAAAGGAATAAGTGCAAAAAAAACGGAAATCTAGCTGAAAACCAAATACAAAACTGAAAAAAAGTTAATAAAAATAAATCTCGACAATCGNACAAAAGGACCTTAATAGGAATGTTTCATGTTCAAAAGGGGCTCTTACAGGCATGGAGTAGAAGAACAAGCCCATAAGGGCTACAAGCAGTCCAATGACCAAGAACTTGATGAGGCACATCTTGTAGTTGTTCCAAAGAAGATACTTCAGGGACTTGAACGGGTTCATTAACCAAGTGAAGGTTGAATCAGGCCGGCTACAAAGAACAAGACAATTCAAATAAGTACACGACTATTGCCCAAACGTGGACCAGGTCATAAACATTTATCCAAGATTGATGGAACATCGCGGGACATGATCTTACTTTGGTTTCTCTAGAGCCTGCGGGTCCTCACGCGCCCTTCCAGCGGGTTTTTTCTCAGCCTCTTCCTGTGTCAGTAATTCCAGTTCAGCTTCCACTTTGCCCTACCATTAAAATTGGAAACCAAACCCGTTAGAAATAGTTTTGAAATACCTTAGTTAGAGTTAGAATGTTTGTAATTTCAAAACACCCCTATAACCTTTTCACTCCGTAGAACTAGTTTATCAACTCTCCCCATCGCTTACGATAATTTTCTTATCATTTTAATTCTGTGAAATAGGAGAATTTGGAGTTACATTATACAGCCTTAGGAATGTATGGCAAGAATAGCAGAGTAAATTGTACTAAGTGCGTGGTCTACCGCAACAAGCCCTGTTGAGATCCGTAGTAAAGAGCTAGACCTACAAACGGGGGACTGTGGGATCGCCATGTTTTTCTTTTGTCTCGTGCAAACCTCTCTCCGTACGATATATGGCTGTTGGTAGAAATGTTGTCGGAAAAAAGGACTAAAGTGCAAATTACTGGATAAATTCATCAAAGCCGCTGTGCCTCGTTCTTACAGTGACCTCTTCTTGCATTTCCCTGAAATCCTGAGGACAAGGAACCGTGACCTGAAAACTATTCACATTACCTTTCGGAATTCCTCGCTTCGCGTGCACTTTTACGCTTTGTCTCCGGCAACCTTTCTCGAAACAGCTGAGTTTACGTCAATTTTGGCAAAAACGTTATTGCTTAACTATTCCAAGAGAGAAATCAGAATCGAGAAAAAAAATAACAGCTATACTTCAGCCTTTTAACCCTAACGAACGAGTTTACAAACTGTAAACTTACGGCCAGTTCAGGTACTTCTTCATCAGTGTTGACAGTAAACGGCCAGAATCCCTTAATGTGCTTGATTTTGAAGAAGGAGACCTGGGGCACACTGCCGTCCTGTTTGAGTAGGTCTAACGTGCAAGTCTTAGCGGACTTCGCACCACGTGGCATGCGCGTGAGGTCAAGGGTCAGATCACCTGTTGAACACAACATGACAGTTTGTGAGGTTCCTTGACTGTGAAGTAATTGGTTGAAGATCAAAGGCTTTTTTTTTTAAACCAATAAGATCTTAGATGTAAGACCAAGCCAACTGCGACTAAGGTGAGAGCACGGCTTCCCGCGCTTTAAGCCGGTCACATGCTCTTGAAGCGATTTCTGATTGGTTCCTGGCATGACTACGTCTCTAATGATTGGCACAAATAAAAAGCTCTTTATAAATACACGAACTAAGAGTGGCTCACTTTTTTAGAATGTTACTCACCTATGAAATCGTCAGCCGAGAAGGCGTCCGCATCCCACACTTGCAGATGCAGTCTGGCAGGAACTTTCTCCTCTGATTCGTCCCAAGAGAAGAAACTGGCCTGTAAGACAATACACAATAAACAAGTGAAGACAAGTTCCTCGCAAAAGAGCTTCAATAGAAGAAAATGTAAAAAAGAAGCCTGAACAAAAGCCAGGCTCGGAAAGGATTCAAATCCGTTCCTCTCAGTTACCAATTAGGCGCCTCTACCAACTGCGCCACAAAGCTTCATGTTAGGAACGAAGCAAATCTGAGTGAATGAACTAAGCTCTATTTTTAACCTGCGGAGGTCAAAACCTTAATCATTCCATACAATACACAATAATCAAATTTGAAATGTGGGCTCTGTAACTTTCAATCAGATGTTGTAATTCAAGGACCGTTCTTACAGATTCAAGATGAAAGATAAGCTACCTTAGAGGAAACCTTCCTACACTGACTTCCTTGATGTTATTGTTTGGCTACATACTGTGCGAGATGGAACATAAGCAGAACACAACGCTTACAGATGAAACAAAGTTTACCTTTCGAGTAATAACAATTCTCTCTTCTGCCTTCTGGTACTGGAAAGGGAATATGAATCTCCAGTTGAAATTGCCTTCTCCAGTAAGGGACCTGTAATGCACATCTGTTTGTTGCTTGTCCTCTTTCATTCCTTCGAGCCAACCTTTGACAAAGATGTCACTGCACTTCTCTCCCGTCAGTATGTTGGATTCTTCCAAAAGGACATCTTCCGTGTTCCAGATAACAACTCGAAGCTCATAACTAAAACGAACACAAATATCGCCCCGTGATATGAAGTGAGAAACACAGCATTTCTTGTTTGGATGATTGTTTGGTCTCAAAAGGGAAAAATTCTCGAAAAAAAAAAAAAATGGTCAACTCAACTGGAATCAATTGTTACTTCTTTAATAATTACTCTTACACTTTAACTTTCAAAATAATTCCACACTTCGATAAAAGGCCAAATGAACACAAAATGTTGCGGGCGTAACCTCCAAGTGGTCAACGTGCAATCTCTTCTCACTAAACAGCTAATTGATGTGACACCAAATTCTCTTCGGTATGTTTCAAGAAATTACATAGCAGCTAGACGGGAGAATGAGGAGAAGAGGTCTAAAAGTTAAATGACTAAGTGCCGTCCTTACGTTGTCGGTTTCCTTGGAGTAATGTCCACAGGAGCCCCAGGAGATGGCATGTCCATAGGGAACATGTCCACCCACATCTCAATTTTACCCTGCAGAGAGACGAGAATATCGGTGCTTCATTGTACAATCCATTCTTCATTTTATAATGAGAGAACTTTTGATTGGCTCTTACTTATGATCTATAGGAGGACAAACGCATAGATGACGTCATCATCGACAGTTTTTATTTTGCTAGTATATATTATACAAAACAAATAGTTTCCATTTTGCCGTGAGTCTGTTCAGTAATAGATAACAAGAGGCATCAAATGTGGTAAGAAAATTGGTGACACACTCGTTTGCGCCTCGTCTACCACTCTTTTGCCCTACTGAACATGAAATCTATTGTTCGAATGATTAAAGGACTGTGTTGCTACGTGTGGGGAGAGATTGGGGAGAGTGAAACGAACAATTTGAAACAATACTAACCTACGAACAAAGTTGAAATGGTAATAATAGTTTCTTTAGAAACTATCAGCCTTTAACCTACGAACACCCGTGAATATATCAAAACTAACATTTTAATCCTATGGTCATTTGTAATTACAATTATTTTGGACGTTGGCGAACTGGCATTAGACGCTGGCGAATCGACCTCATTCGTTAGCGAACTGTTCGTTGGGGAACTGACACGTTGACGAAACGAACCGTTACCGTTGTTACCGTTCAAATAGACTGAGTGACCGTTATAGTAACAGAACACCAACCTGTTCCACTCCAGGTTTCTCTGGGTTGTACAGAGATCGGGTCTCCACATGTTCTGGCACCAGATTGAAACCTCTCTTCAACGTATGGAAACCACGTAGGGCTTTCAGTGCGACAGGTTCATCTGATTGTTTAAAATGACCTAAAAAAAAGTGAACACAGAAGTATCCAATGAACCACAAAGAAGTATATTAGCTATTTTTAAAGCGAGACCATGAAAAATGATTGCATTACCGCGCAAAATTAGAACAAAAGCAATCATCATTTAAACCTTGTTCACAAAGTTAACGTACTCTGGCCTCTTAATATAATTTCCTCTTCTAGCGAAAATTTGCCAAGATATTCAGTAATAATAAACAGAGAACAACCGGGTCCATTTATGCGTCATTAACACCCGAGAAAACCAAAGTTTTTTTCTTCTTCTAGGTTAGTCATGCACTTTGTTTTGATGACATACTTTGGTAACATTCGGATCTAACACATTCAACGGTGTTTGGGAATTTACTCGATACCAGGAATTTGCTATCCAGTGATGCCCCACATCATTCTACTCTTTGAAAGTAGGAAAGTTCAGGAAATGTTAAGAGGTACCTTTAGTTAACGGTCTGTAAACACCAGAGACATTTCGTGGGACATGTCACAAAGACAACTCCTTAAACACGAAGGCGCGCTATATAAGGAAGTCTTCCCTGGGAAGACCAAGGCTCATTTGCCACTCACCGTTGACGTGTGCGGGTCAGATTTAAATGCTGGTAGACGAACAAAAGGAGCTAATGAGATGTCTATTGTTTACTTCCACCAGCATGGTGGCATGAGGTAACGTGCGAACCATCTACTTCGATCTCAAATTTACCGCCACAAATAAAGACAGTTTCCATTGGAGAAAGGAAATACAAATCTCAAAAATTCTTGTATTGTGATGAAGACATAAAACAATTTTGAGGAATGCGCCCGCTGTTCACTGCTTTGGAGTAGCTGTAGTTCAAGCTGCCTTGACTCTTAGAATTCTACATCACACGACGGTTGATTGACAAATGGTCCAGTGGGACCTAAGGCTCCTGTCATAGCACGCCTTCGTGTTTAACTTCAACATCGAGAATCGACTGATAGTTTTTTCCTTGAAAAAAGTGGTCGAGAGAAGATAAGGCAATTTTTCTTAGAGAAAAAATCCAACATACCACTCTCCTCAAGAACTTGCGAAGTGGCTCCAAACACTTTGTTGTCAATGCGAACTCTTCCCGTCGAGTAATGAGGTCCGTCCAGGCCCTCATCTTTGCAGATCTTAGCAAGAACCTGGGTCGGGCGCATTGGGTCGCGCCATTTGTTGAATCCAAATCTGTGGGTAGAAGAAAAAAATTCCTTCTGGTATTAAATTATATTCCTATAATTGACAACAAAACTTCAGGTTTCCCTAATTTATAAATCACTTAAACAAACTTTTGTCCCTACCAAGAGCACAGAGAGACTTGAATACCAGACAGTTGAAAAGGAAGGCTAAGCAAACATTGGAGGGGGGAGAGGGGGGAGAGGGGGGATTGGCCTATGATGGACTGGGATCTCACCCCGTAGGAGCTATAATACTCTAACCTGCTCATTTTTTGCAAAGCAATGAAAAGAAAATCTGGAGTTCCGAGGTACCTCTGTAATTCTAAGCTTGCCCGTTTCCTGCTCTATTTTTTGTTTTAGCAAAAATTGGAAATCCTCATTGTGAAAGGGATTTGGAAAATGCCAAAAAAATCTTAACATTTACGTTGCATAGCTCTCCTGCAGACCACACGTGGGTCGATGTTTGCTGTAGAATCTGTTCTCCAAATCAACTTTGCTCTCCCCAATGAGATCATCACTTCCAACTAGATCCCAGTCATACACGCCAACAGTTAAGACTGAATCCATGGGGATGATCGCCTCAAATTCAAAGCACCTGTAAGCGTAGTAACATTTCAGTACATCACAGTTGCTACCATGACACATCGCGTCACACATATCGTATCATGTGATCACACATCACCTAACACATATCGTATCATGTGATCACGCATCACGACACATTGTGTCACACCACGTAACAGCACGTTACGCTACATCAGAAACACATCTCTTACTCATAAATTTACATTATGAATATCATCTTTTTGTCCCATACGACCAAGAAAACCATCGCTACCAATAATGAATGCTGATTAAGGCTAGCAATTTTTAATGTCTAAAATATTCCCGTATTGTATCGGTTCAGCCTACATCATTCTGTACTGGGTCCAGACAACTCGCACCACTGGCAGATTTAGCACCACCCTCTAAACCAATTAGATGTCAAACTGACTTGTCCTTGCGTGTTTTCCCGCGCTTCAAGCAGTTCATTGTTTTAGCTCTGTTGCACTAATGTGATGACTCTGGTTTTGATTAGTAGGACACACAATCGAAAAGCGCTCTCATGAACGTGTCGTTACCTTCCAAACACAGGATTGAGTTGCTTTGACACATAGTTATCTCGGTCCCTCACTTTGTGTTTTCCGAGGGTAACCACAAGATAAGGATCAGCCTGAGAATCAACAACACAATCATATCAGCATTTTCCCAAAATTCCATCACTTTTCTTGTTACTTTACGGTGACCTCATGATCAGTGCGCTCGACTCCGGATCGAGTGGTTCGAGCCCTGGCCGGAGACATTGTGTTGCGTTCTTAGGCAAGATACGTTACTCTCACAGTTGCCTCTCTTCACCCAGATGCTTAAATGGGTACCAGCGAACTTAATTTAATTCAGGGAGGAGTAGAAATACTCCAAGACGTTTCATGCTACGGAAACCGGAGATGAGCGCCGGCCTGATGGGCCACTTAGCTCGTAAACATACTTTACGTAATGGTTCTACAGCCTTACTGTTTGTTCAATTAAGCTGTATAACAAAAAGATTACCACAACACAAACTCTCGCTCACCTTTCCATTCACATCTGAGGGATGCAGATTGATGGCCTGTAGAGATACAAAGACAGCAGCATGACGGTCAAATTTAGAAAAAAAAAAATGAGGTAGTACAAATGACAACCCAACTGACAATTTCTAAATATTTTTTTGGTTCCCAAAAAATTTAAAGGCAAAAAGGGTTTGTTTATGGTGGAGTACCTTGATGACGTACACCCGTGCGAGCACATTGACAGGCTCATTGCTGGGTAACTTCAGGAATGTTCCAACGATTGGGTCCATTTCCACATGCTCAGGCAGAGGGTACTTCCACACCTTCAAAGAACCCTGTAAAAACGGATCAAACGAGTAAGGACCCTAGTCGAGTTCTTTATTCCTAGACACCATGTGTACAAGTTAAGTATTCTGAAGGTTAGCAATACCTTGAATTTTCCCACAATCCTATGGTCGTCGTCGTCATCTTCACTTGTCTTCTTGCCACGGTAGAGTGGGAACGAATGAAGCCAGTCGTTGAAGCCGTTGTACTCTGGCAAATTTTCCAATTCTGAGTCAAAAATCTGCCATTAAAAAAAAAAATCTATCTCACAAAAACAAGTATTTTCATTTTGTATAACTTGATAGTCAAAAATAAATTCAGCAGTAGATGCCAACACTATAGCAAGTAACCAATACGAAAGCAGCGCGACCCTGAACTCGCCCTACTTTCTGAACAAATCAGATTCAAAACTGAACCGACCCAGATAGGTCACTCGCGTTCCCGCTTTTCTTGACCACTTATTAGCGAGTTTAAGAAAACTACGACAGCAACGGCAACGGGAACGACACCAAGCAAAAGGTTTAAGCAGCAGAACAGTGGCTGTGCACGTGCGTTATAAATCTTTGTAGATTTCTTTGCGCTCTCTGCAAAACAGCAACATGAAATGACCAAACTTTGCGCTGTCTGGAGAACGTGAACGCCGACCGCTGATTTTTAAATTTCTTTTTCTTATTTAAGGCTGTGTTCCGATTTCAGTTTCGATATAGTTTTGACCGTGAGAAACAAACTAAATGACTTTAGAGTATCGCGGGACTCGTCGGTAAAATATAAGTTTAATTTTTAAGCGACGCTGTCCCCGGCGTCGCCGTCGTCCTTTCTTAAACTCCCTATTAGCTTCCTGCGACAGTCGCTCAAAAAAATAAAACTCGCCCCCTCTCCCCCCCCAACGATCTCCTCACCGTTAGCCTTGGAATCTTCTTCTTCAATTTCTCTTCCTCGGATTCTTCCTCTCTTTTATCCTTCTTCTTTGAAGGCCTTGATGCTTTCTGGTCGTCGTTTCTCTCATTCCGTTCACGGTCCTTGAGTGTCTCGTAGTACCGTGACCACCAGTCCAACGCATCCTCACCGTCATCATCTTCTTTGCCTTTGCCTTTTTCGCCTTTTCCTTCACCTCCTCCTCCCTCAGCCTTCTTCTTTTTCTCCTGCAGCTCAGATAAAAAAAAGACGACAATTCTAAGTGTTGGGTTGCATAGAAAGATTCTTTTTGAAAGGAGGTATGACAAGATCATGACTTAACGTCCTTTTATCCGACACAGATAATCGTCTTGAAAATCAAAGTTAAGTTCACTTTTGAAGGTTGATTTAATAAGATCTACGGGTAATCAAGATGAGAGATATCCGCTACCAGTTTTCCCTTTTGTTCCTGTAGATAAAATTTCTGACCAAAGCGCGTAGCAACCTGTACGAACGGACGTTCTTATTACTTGACCTACGGTCAAGTAATAACACCAAATTTTCTCGGCTTGATGGGTTATTACCAAATTTGTTTAGGTATGGTGCATCAGTGAATCGATCAATCGCACTATGGTGAGACGTCTTATTGACAAAAAGCAAATGGGAAAATTTGCTGCAGATATCATCTTGCTGCGCACTCGTAGGTCTCATAACATCCACTTCAGAGCCGACTTAAAGAAACACAGGGCTAAACATGAACTGACCGAGTTAAGTTAAAAAATGAGAGTTTACTGCAGAAGAAAAATATCAACATGGTGATAATGAACCAAAGGAGGATACGAATGGCAAAGATGAAGAAGTTTAACACAGTTTATAGACGGCACCCATGCAAAATTTCACGCAGAGAGCATGAATCCGCTTTTCAGAAAAAATGGGAGAAAGAGTTGGCAGTGAAGAGCATGATAGAAGAAACGACGCAAAAAATATTCTCTATGAAAGGACTCGAACTGCAGTCGTATGACAGAGGATGTCTACAAGAATGCGTACAAAGATTACAGTGATCAGTGAGCGACTAGACAAAAGTAACGATGAAGACAAGCCTCATTTGGGACCAAGAGAATTTTTTATGTGACAACAAGGCCAACACCGCTGTCATCGAATTTATACATCTGCTGGTGTGCTTCGTGTAAAACTTGAAGTAAATTAAATTTTTTCGCTCAGAGCGGCAGTCATTTATGAAAACAAGTTTGACATGAGCTGTTAACTAAAGGAACAATACGCTCACCTTGAGTGTGTAGGCATAGAGCTGTGTTGAAGACGACGACGAAAGAGAAAGAGAAACAGCGCATGAACAAGATGAATGAGAAGAAGAACGATGAAACACAAACAGGTACATAAAGGGTGTTTAAGAACTAAGGGAACTCTCATATACCACAACTGTTGTAGAATCGCTCGAGACTGGAATGGGTAAACAGAGCTTTGTTCTTTACTCAAATTTAGGGATCAACGTTCAGTTTAACAGACATGGTTTGACGCGTCCCACGGATGCCACAAACATATAGAGAAGAAGGATACGGTGGCTTCCTTGGGGAAGAGAAAAAAAAAAGTAGAGGGCATACGAGCCTGCCTCTCAGCGCGAAGAGAGAAGAGAAAAGCCTTGAGATCAGACAATCAAGATAAAACCTTCATACGCTCAAGGAGATTTTTTGAATGACGCATCACGACAAAGAATGATGACAGCAATTAATGTTAAGTGACGATGAAAAAAAAAAAATTAATCGCAAGTGATAAATCTTTCAACTCCTAAGATCTGATTGTGAATTCTCCTTTCTAGCTGCTACACATTTCCTTGTAAATTAAATAAAATGAACTAATCTAGCAGCATACCAGAGGCTCAGAGTCCGCTGCATCCGGAGGATCCTCATCAATCTCTATTGCCACATCAGCAGGTGCATTGGGAACTGGTGAGGTTGGACGAGAAGTGGCATTCCCTACTCCTACGACAGCTTCTGTTGTGGAATGAGATTAAAAGTCAATAGTCAAGTGCTGTTGTGGACTTTGGCTGAAGGCTCTACGTTAGACCTTCTGCATTTTCCATGAGGGATAAGAACAAAACCCAACAACCCAACAACTTCAATTGAATCTCCTGGGAGGGGGGGGGGTATTCCAGGGTCAATTCGCGCACCCTCGCGATAAGAAGAGGAATAAACATAATAATAACATTCGATACAAATTTTTTAATTGACAATGCTATGGCAAATATAGGCTAGACATTTTTAAAATTTGTTTTTACAGTTTTTTTAGAGTAAGAATGTCATTTCCCTTCTCATATATTTTTTTTAATGTAATTTACTTTCCTAAGGATAATTTCGATGCACGTTTTTTTGAAATTCTTTCAATACGAACTAGTAGTTGCTTTCGTGATTTTTATATGTAGGTCGTTTTTGCTATCAAAGTTAGTTTGGGTCTGATACGAGTCTGATCCTAGAGAACCGAATTTAACAGATGTGTTCCGTGTCAATTAATTTGGAAATGTGCGAGAGGAAAAACCATTTTAAGTTTTGAAATAAAGTTATTGTCATAATAATAATAATAATTTATAAAAATAATCCTTTATTCACCATAATCACAAAAATTATAACAAAAATTATGATAAAATGTTTGAAAATCGAAAAAAAAATGTGTTAAAATGTCTAATAAAAATGTAAGAAAAACTAGAGGATACACACTATGATAACGATAATTCACTCTAATTATCGGATGGTTTAACAGCTCTATTAACTATGGTTTAACAGACTTGTAAGGTGGACGGGTGATTTGTGAGTTGCGTAGTAATTTTCTTTTTCTTTTTATATTAGCGAGGAAAGATGGAAGCATTAAACAAAATGTTTGCTGGTCAATAAGGGAGAAGATGGATTCAGTTGGCCATAACTCGAGGTTATCTTTTTGTTATTGGACTAGCTTTGGACAATTGTTTAAGGAGTGAGTGCAATCCCCTTGGTGAAGTCATCTGGACACGCCCAATATCATATGACCCATAACAAAAAAAAAACTGTTCTGTTAAAATTTGCGATTTGAATTTTTCAAGTCTCCTTTCAATATGCAAAAAAACAAAGTGCAAGTTTTTGTTTTCGAGACCGGTACGTTATTCGTCTCCAACGAAAGTAGAACTTCATCGTGCAGTCCTATAATTTTGGAACCTACGGTTTATTAACTACTCACACAAAACTGATCAAACTCCGTAACCGGCTGGTTAACTACTGGACTACTACCGATCGATAAATCAGGAACGAGAGGTTTTTAAGCCATATTTAGAACGACTTGAGCGCGATCGATCACATAAAAATGCATTGCAGAGGAAGGGAATGTTTAACTTTGACGAAGAATTTTTAAAAAGAAATCACAAACGTATACTCACACTTCCTCCAAGGCGTACATTTCTTGAAAAATGTTTCGAGGCAGCTTTTCTAGCCGATTACCGATTGA